TCGCGTCTGGGAAGTAAAATAAGGGAAAATTCAGATGTCCATGTTTGTAAATGCCAGTAGTCTGAGTCAGCTCGGTGTCCACCAAACCGATGAAGCACAAAAGAATGAAAATTGGCTTCATATTGGCAAATAAAATATGAGTTACAAGGTGAATTACCTGAATTATGAAAGCTGCAAGAAAAAGCTCTTTCACTCCTTAATTTAAAATTCTGAATTCAGGCTGACCAATTTTTAAATTTGTACAAGTATTGAGTGCATGAGTGCACAATAAATGAATTACAACAACTGATATGCAAAATATGACTGCAATTGCTCAATAAGGTGATCGAATGAAGCCCTCTTTAATGAAAGGTCAACTATAGGACTAGGCCTTCCCAGTTTGTTCTACATAGATCTTGCCATTAGAGACCTTTTTTTCCTCTCAGAGAAGCACACATCCAGAGCAGGCAGGAGGTAATGAAACTAATTTAATATCCATTCCCAATTGAATTAACCCCAATTGTAAGGAGACAAGGGAGTAAATCAAGGCACTGTTATACTGACTGAATACTCATGCATAATAATATCCCTTAATCCAGGCTCAACCCAGAAAAAAAATTTTTTACTTCAATGTGAATTTTTTTTTAAACTTGAAAATCCACATTTATGCAACAAGCAGGTAAAGTCCATGAAGGCTCTTAATCTGACTCCATGATAGTTGAGTATCAGCTTGACCGTACTTCTTGGATGGAAAAGGAATAGACCCAAAAGCTCAAGGGTTGGTCTTCAACTATATGATTATTAACTTAATTAAATTGATTAACCATTATAGCCCAAATAAACTAACAGGACCAATGTGTGAATTGAGGTTTGAAACTGAAACAAAATTCAACTTCTGTGCATTTCAAGTTTGTGTTTCTTTCATGTGGCTTCCATGAAACAAATAAATTTTCTGTGAGTTTACAACAGAAACAGCTCATAGAACTTACTTCTGAATAGGTGTCTTCTGTCATACAAATAAACAGATGGCATCCCAAATGCAGAGGTAAGGTAGAATTCTAGAATGCAAAATTGTACATAAATAGACATATGGCCACAAGTAAAGCTTATGCAAACATTTTTTAAATCTACCTCCAACTGGTCTGTCAAAATTTAAAGCTGAACAGTATTTGCTATTATATGGAATTTGGTAGCAAATTTTCCCTCTAGCTTTACACAAACTAAGAAGGCCTTGCAACTGCCAAATTCATCAGAGACATCTTGCTAGATTGAACTGGGAAGGCTATTTCTTCTCAAAAAGCAAAAGCAGGAAGATGAAAATGCAGTTATTCTGATTAGTGCAGCACATCTTGAGGTGTGTCCAGCAGGTTTTCCAGTAACTCCAGAATTACTGAGTGAAATTTGCCATAATAAGCTCAACCCGCCTTAAATATGTCAATAGAAAAATTGGCGAACTCTATTTAAATATCTTAAACAAGAAGAAATCAAAAGAGAGAATAGGAGTGGCCTGAAAAATGCTTATCATTAGGCCTAATAAAAGGATAGACATTACATTTTTTGCAGAATATCCTTACAAGAGGGATGAACTAATGGTGGCATGAAATAATGGGCAAAAGACTAGCAGGTAATGGCTGGGAATTGAACTAGGGTTTCCTGACCATATATCAGTTATATCAAAGGAACATCTCAGCATTAGGTTACTCCTGCTCATCCCATCCTAATCCATGTGTCACATGCACTTTCTCTTCCACTGACTTGGGTGCATATGCTGATGCTATCCATACAGGGCATACAGAACAAACACCAACTTTCATATCATGGGTAGGATCAATGGGCCCTTGCATGCTGGCAACACTACAAAGCTGAACCTTCCATTATTCTGTAGTGCTATATATTTATTCTCTTTATAAATGTCTGGTCCTGAGACTCAGAATTACAGAGACTCACCAGTGATGTCTTTGAACACTTGTGTGTGAGATTCACAAATCCAACTATGGCATTTGCAGAACACAGAGGAGAGCCTCCATGCCACCCTTATCCACAGGCATATTTCACCACCTTAAGGCACATCATATTCCCAGTATTCCCCACCTTCACTACTTTTCATCACCTAACATCATGACACTAAGTGCAGCATCTCAGATTCATTTTACTTATATTTCCATGGATGTCACATGCATCCTGATTGGCTTTGATGAATTTTTTTCCATAACAGGCATCTTGTATCACAATTGCATAATCTTGGATTGGACTGAAGCTAAATCCTGATTTAACTGATATGCTTATTCATGGGCTCAAAATCTACATGCATCAAGGATTGAACCTTGAATTAAGCCTAATTTATTTTTCAGAAACTTGGATTCATATCACTAGAATATATGTTGTAAGCATTAATGGAGCTTCATGTGGTATTCCATTGTTCGGATATCTGTTGCATTGGGAGATAACATTAGGCACAAGGTTTCCTTTAACACTGCCATCATGAGAAATCCCCATCTGATAACCATCTAATGTTAATTCACGGAACACAAAAGTATATTTTCATGGATGTTGAATTCCAAAATAATGGGCTGGGATATGGACAATGTCATGATTCCTGACCACTGCTCCTCCAGCAAACAAGAACATAACTGTCTATCAAATAAGTGGCAGAAAGATATTATTAGTACATTGCACTTCAGGGAAAGATGCACACTTTATTTTAATGGCATTCAACTAAATGTGAAACACGGAGATGAAAGAACAAAAAATTAAAGATGTAAAAAGAACTGAGATGCAAAAAGCCAATGCTGTTTTACATCTTATAAAATTGTATGGCTTCTGGGAAGATTTCCTCATTCTAACATCAGCCATCCTTGACACAAGTAAAGGATCTTCCTCTCATTCAAAGTAGGCCTAATGTAGCAAAATGAATACCATTATTGATATCTTAAATAGAAGGATATATCAATGGCTTCATGTTTGAGTATAGTTAATGCAATGAATGCACAGGAGGGCCCAAGGACACCTGTCATAAACCCTCTCACGCATCAAAATGCAATATTGTACCCATCTGTCCTTTAATAGCAAAAGTTACATGGCCTAGGTCTTGGGTCAAAGCTTATTAAAGACAGGACTAAGCTAAGACTAAGATAATCTAGGCCAAAGCAGGTTTGCCAGACTTTGGTCAGGTGGAAAACTATGCCATCGTGTACCTTATCAGCTCATACAATATACGGCTAAGCCTACTCTTGTGCACACGCAACCCTTTGAGCTTGCGTTCAGGGGTGGGTGCCGCATTGGATTGGAATGGAGAAGAGTGAATACAGCTGCTGACATCTGACCGCTCTTCCCAGAAATGCCAACTACGATCTTCATGAGCAGGGTGAGCGCGCGGACAGTGAGAAGCAAACGGTGTCGGAGCCTGGAGGGTGTCTTGTGAACGAGATTTTCCATGCAAGCGACTCAGAGGGGCTTCATTTCATCACTCTATGGAATGTTTTGCAGTCACATTTATTAACTGCCACAATTCATTTACTATTATTCATTTACTATTTATTTACTATTATTATTATTTACAATTATTTTTATCAATATTTGTTCTGGTTTTGAAGTCGGTCTGAATCCAGAACTGGAAATTAACCTATTAACTGGGTATGATGAATATACTCGTTATGACCATTCTTCCGCGTGATGCGAAAGACGAGTATGCTCGTCATAGGGTTTCAGCTCCTCAAAACTGGTGGACTTGACGAATGTATTCGTCTTGGGTCTTTCGTATGGGAAGAGTATTTATTGCGAATGCTCTTTCCTATCATTAGAGTTTCAAGGGCGTGGACTGAGCATTCACAGAGAAAACTTGCCCAACACTCAAATTCCTATAGCGGATATGGAATCATAAAAATCGCCCAAAACGGTCTCCCAGAAAGATTCTCTCGATGAAACGTGGTTTTAAAATTCCTAAATATGTGAAGAAAAATTAAGCAACGTTTCCAGGTCATGGGATAAAACAATACAGAGAAATTCAATTGCACACGCGAGTTCCTACAGAGAAAAAAAAAAAAAAACTACCCACCCAGCTTGCCACCGCCGTGGGGGAAACTCGCAAGTTAAGAGGGGGATAAGCGTTTTTCCTAGCAACTTTCTTAATTATAATGATTCTTTGGCAATTCTGACTTTATTTGCAAATAAAATACTATTATCCGTTTGATCGTTTTGTGATTCGAATGACTGTACCACCGCAGTGTGAGCTGCAGCGTTCCACGTTGTCAAGATGCTTTGCAATTAAGTATTTCAAAATTTACGATTTCTAACAGTCGCCAAAATGCCTTCCGACGCAACGTCGATCGCGGTTAAGGCTCCATTCAGAATGGGGACCTGCCATGGGAATGCTTCGGTGCAGGAAAGAGCCAGAGATGGGTGAGACTCCATGCAGCATCGCGCCGTGAGGGTGGGGAAGGCGACTGCTTCGTTGCGTTCTCGTGGATGGAAATGGCGGGGCTGCCTCTTTTCGCTTTTTTTTTCTGCCTTATTTTCCTCTCGCGCGTGGATCTTCTTCGCTGGGGGATTAGATCCAGTTGATGAAGGAAGGCCATTGGCAACATGACTAGTCGTTGGATCTGCTGAGTTCAAGGTCGGGGTCGGGATGTTTCCGACGTTCTCGACCCATGTTGACATTCCGATTAGAGGTTATGCTCTCTTCCTATTATCTACGATAGGCCAAACATAGAGATATGTTCCGAGTGGAAAAGTGTCTGTTGACTCTCTAACACAGGGGTCGGGAATGCATGTACGGTACGGGCAGCGCTTGCCTCTCGGGCATTCCGCAAGGCAAAACGAGGCAACAACACTCGAACAGGTTTTACCCCGTTCTACAGGCTACATCGAGTTAACCCAGCGGCATAGCGTCAGGGGGGGAGGGGCACGTGGTCGTCACCCCCCCCCCCACTTTTCAAGAAAAAAAGCCAAAAAAAAGTAGGAAAATACACAAAAATGCATGACAGTATCCCAGAGTTTCCGTGCCCCCCCACAGATTTTTCCCCTCCAAGTAAAAAAAATATTTCTTTCTTTCATTCGTCGGTTTCTCTCCGTCTGACGACCAGTCTCTTGCAAGAGAGGGAATCCCTGTACTGGGAATGCCACCACCCCCTGGATCCGATAAGGGTGGATCCAGCGTCTCTTCTCTTCCATCACTTCTCCCATTGTAGGTCGCTAGCCCTTGCCGGCGTTAGCGCCCACGACTCGTTCCGTCCAAGGGGAGACGTGCCTTATCGCAGTTCAAAAATACCTTACCTGTGGCGGCATTATCTCGCCTGGATGGTAGAGGGTGGCAGCGCGGAGACACCGAACAGTTTCGAAGAGTGTTCTTAAAAACAGTTGCAAATTTTCTTCCAGCAAGTTTTCCTTCATCTGAGATGTGGTTCATACTCTACACAGTGGGATTCGTCGCTTCGGTGCTCTACGTCTATTCCTTCTTCAGGCGCCGGCTGTTCGCCTCGTTCATGGAGCACATCACCTCGAAACCGAGCCCAAAAATCACGGCCATGAAGAAATCCCTATTCGAGTCGATGAAGGAAATCGTCTCCTCGGACCCGGAATCGAAACGATCCGGCCGCTTCCGTCTCCTCGAGATCGGGCCCGGGACGGGGACCAACTTCGAATTCTACCCGTCGAACGCCAAGCTCAGCGTGCTGGAACCGGATCACAGCTTCAAGGACTACTTCGCGAGGAACAAGCAGAAGTTCCCCCACTTGGAACTGGAGAATTTCTACGAGGGCTGGGCGCAAGACATGAAGCAAGTGCGGAGTGGGAGCATAGATGCCGTCGTGTGCACACGCGTTTTGTGCAGCGTCCCCGTTCGCAAAACCGGTCCGTTTCTGGCCGAGGTCAAGAGGGTCCTCGCTCCCAAAGGTGAGAGCGACGTCATGGGCATCGTGACGTCATGGATGTCGTTTTAACTTTATGGCTTTCGGGAGTGAAACAAATTGTATTTCTTCACTTCAGGGAGGTTCTATTTCGTGGAACACGTGGGAGACAGGCCAGGTACGATCCTGAGGTGGATCCAGAACGCCCTTCGGGCGACGTTTCTTTACGGATTCCTGACTTGCGGCTGCATTCCGAATAAGAGCACCGACGAGGACGTGAAAAGAGCCGGCTTCTCCAGCACGGATGCGACGAGGTTTCACGTGGAAACGGATGCTCCCGTTTGGACTCTGAAGGGCTTCTTCCTGCGTCTCATTGCCTCTCACGTCGCGGGCGTCGCGGGCAAGTGAGGCGTGCATTTCTTGGCGGTTTACCGGTTTACTGCTTTTCCGTTGGCTTCGTTTTGCTGGCTCTTCAGTGGAGGAAATTTTTTTTTCGAAATCATTGATGGAAAAAAAAAACCAATTCGGATGAAGGTAGTTGGGAGACTGGGGCGGTTCAGTCGTTATCGTAGCAGAATCGGTTATGGGGCGACTGGAACCTTATTATTATTTTTGCCCAGCGAAGATTGCAATTTCAGTGCAGAAGACCTTCCCGTATGCGAATCGTTTCATCGATTGGGGATCATCGTAGTGAACAATACCCATAACCAGACGACTTTGGATCACTAGTTCCTTCAATAAAGGCGATATAGAAATGAAAGTGCTGACTTTTGAATTGTCATTACCGGTTGACTCCTGTAATCAGGCAGTTAATTCGATCAAATAACCAAGGTAATAACAATAACCCAAGCAGCAATTTAAAATCCATCCGATGTCACGATGATAACACGACTCCGCATTTGATTAGATATAATGTTTGTGCCGAAGTTGAAGGAAATCGACGCATCGTGTCCCGTGCTACGCCTTTTCGAACTTGGATTGAAAAATTACACTTGTTTTAAACCAGGCGGATAATCCACAGAGCCACCGAACGCAAAGCGATTGATCTCAGACTAACGATTTGAGCGTGTGCCGTGACCGAAGGCATTTTTCCCGAATCCGGCAAAAACCTTTCTCGCTACAAGTACGCTAGTAAATGCCTGCTGGTTAGGTCATTCCGGGTCAGGCGCAATGAAACTCATACAAAAATATGGCATTGAAACTTGACGGGAACTTTGGCCTTGGGTGCCAATAGCAGGTAGCTTTCATTACGGACGGGGTGTCCCAAAATTGACTATTATTTCAAAACTTAATTTTCTTTAGGAGTTTGATTCAATTTGCATCGATTAGCGCTATTATATCTATATATTTCTTCACGGTAGAGACACGAAACTGCGACAAAACGAAAATCGCTTTGAATGGATTTTGAAAATAGTCCAATTAAAAAATAAAAAATAAGACAATTCAGCCACCTACTCCACGCGTCGAGTGCATCGTTTTTATACTACTTCGGCTGGTTCCAAAAAACCTCATAGGAACCCGGTAGGACTTTTAAAAATCCTTTTATGATTCCTGTGGGACGTTTTCATAAAATCCCTCTCGGAATCGATAACCTCTACCGATGAAGCCACCCTGACGCCCTCGAAGCCATCCGGTCCCCAGCTGAGGCGGCAAAGCATCAATCCTCTTCCCGCTAAAGTAGCTGACAATCTGCAGCCGAGATGCGTCTCGAGGAGTTCTTTCGCGGCAAAGTTTTCAGGGCTGTCTCGGATGTTCTCCGTGCGCTTTTCGAATCTCGCGAAAGAGAACTCAGAAATCGATGATAAAAAAAATAAAAATATTTTATTTAAGCCAATTCTGATTCGTTCGCATCGCCATCCGTCCAGCCCGTCTACATGACGTCACGATCGACGGAGACGAGCTCAGCAGACGAGAAGGGCCGAGGCGAGAAAGAACGCGACGAGGAATCCCGCTCCGACGAAAGCGACGCAGAAGACGCCGAGGCTCCAGTGCAGTTCGCGGCTGGCGTGGACCTCGCTGCAGATACAGTCCACGACGGAGGCGAAGAGGAGGGATCCGATCGCGGTGCCGTAGAGAGCGTATATCCCCGGCGGGAAGGAGGTCGAGGATTGCCTGGCCGACGCTCCGATGTACACCCCTGGGAAGAAAAGGTTAGCTCTCGTCATCCCTTATGGAATGTGGAGGGGGGGGAGGGGGTGTTCGAGGGTTATAAGTGGGGTGTCCGAGGGCGATAGAGGGCTATCGGATGTTTGGCTATGATGGTGGTCTGCCTCCGTCTGCGATGGTTGCTGAGGAATAAACGCTTCATTAGACTCAGTTTACGGCGATTTGGCCGGGGAAAACTGCCAAAAGAGAGCAATTAACCTCATTTATAAAGTCGTTAATACTCGTTCGTGTCTCTTTGAGTCGTGAGCCTAGTCATTATCGCTTGGACAAAAGAGGGTCATCACAGAATACAGGGGAAGAGACAGTGCAAATAATACGTGATGATAGACAGTAATTCAGCCGAAATTACAGTATGATTCACATCGCGCCTGTGTTTTTTCAGCGCGAAAAAAAGTAGAACACTCCTGATGACTGTTTCTCCTCTTTTTTTTCTATCAGAAATGCTCCAGGATATTGTCACGGAAATTTTGACTCTTTCTGCACGTTCATCGTCGGTTGATGAAGTCGTGCTATGAAATGGAGAAAAAAAAAAAACTCTTTGAAGGAACAGCTGCTTTTATTCCACGTTTCATCTCATGTCGGAAGGGCCAAGAAGAAAGTATTGGAATTTAGAAATTCCTCAGGAAAACTTTCCAAATTCGAGGTTCATGTTGTTTTTTTTTTTTCCCTCAGAGAAAACTCACAAAATCTTTTTTCCTGAGAGTTTAATCTCAGATAGAAAAAAAAATGCTGATCTCATGTTGGCCCAACGTAAAGCGCCAACATTGGCCCTACGCAAATGTGCCGACGGGACAACGTTGGATTAACGATGAGTCTAAGCCAAACGTTCTGTCCACATTTTCCTAGATTGGACCAGCATTTGTGCCGTTAGTTATGAGGGGTGTTCCCGGTGAGGCCATCTTATCTTATGGGGTATACAAATTAGCATATTATCATTTTATTACATTGATAATTTGTTACCATATTAAGTAAGGTCTTCGTGGGCGGTACACAGTCGTCAAGGATGCATAAAGATCCCAAGGGAGTCAGCAATACGGAGCTACCGCAACCACTACTACCATCCCTGATCCTATGCCATCTGCAACGATAATAAGATAGCACATTTTGCAGACCAGAACGCGCATTAAGTCATTAAGTGTGCTCAGACTTCCAACCAGAATGGTTGCGTTCAGAGATGCCGGATCTGCAACGTTAGAGACACGATTACTCGATGAACTTGACTCTGGATCCAAAGAATTTCACTTTCTCCAGTGTGTCTTCTAGTTTTACAGTTCTAGAAGGCATCATCCTCCATAAATAACGGCTGAGAAAAAGAGTGACAACAGATTCGATGCCGAAAGTCGTGGCACCGGTGCGACATCTCTGTTCTGGCCCATGCACCTAAGATTCCCAGTCGCTGCGCAAAGATCGTGGGTCGTCCTCCATGCTCCGAGGAAAATTCCCTGTTATTCACAGGCCATGTAGGCTTGCGAGTGAGCACTTCGTGGGCTACGTCGCGTGCGACGGGGTCCGGTAGGTCACAAGAAATTTGCTTGCTAAAATGTATGGAGAGGTGGCGCTGACATTTGGGTGCAGTTTTTGCAATTAGTTTTAAGCTAGATCATTTAGTTTTTTGTAAATCGGTTTCCATTTCGCTCGTAGTCTCAACATTAAACGCCTCGTTTCTGCTGAGCATTTTTGACGATGCTTAACATGAGCAAGCCATATTGCGAAAAACCGAATCCCGCCATTTTCGCTCAACCTCAGCCGGCCATACATCCGCAAAATTGCCCGCCGACATCGTCTCTTCGCCGACTTTCTCGTAAAGTTTGCCAAAAAAAAAGCATCCCACGTCGCATCCCCATTATTCGCCATTATTAAACTTAAGGCAATGTGAAGCACATCGTTTCGTGCCATCTAGGATGCACCCAGATTTGTTTCTTCTTTTTTTTAAAATTTAAACTCAATCTTCAGTATTAAAAGTCAGTTTTCCCCATGAAATGAGGCTGGTGCTGTTGCAACAACTCTAAAGTAATTCTCGCGAAGTCTTTATCGCAGAGACTTTTCCTTTTTCAGCTTCCACGCGGTGGACAGGCCCTTTGGCGACAGATGCGACATCTGGGTCAAGCTGCCGCATCCGCCGCAGAGAATACGAGAGAAAACTGAATTTTCTTCAAGGCTGTTGCTCCAAACAGACTCCAAACTTCGAAGCGACAAATTTGAGAGGGTCGGGAAAAAAAAGTCAAACGGGTCTTTTCAATGTTATTTTCTTGCATAAATAATTGAAACTTTGCCTCTTGCATCGCTGAATTCGACGGACGAGGACCTTGCTTCCGGCACCCATTGAATGCACCCCAATCACCTCTGTTTTTACTGGTTGTGACTTTTTTCTCGGGACCTTTCCCTTATATGAATAGCAACTTGATCGGTATGCTCTTCCCTCGCAATTGTGAACAGTTTCTCTCTGTAGGGGAACGGAAGAGGGGGGAGGGGGGAGGGGGGGGGGAGCCCAAGCACCAATGGGGGGGGGGGGGGGGGGAGGGGGGGGGGGGGGGGGGGGGGGGGGGGTAGCTCAAGCACCAACTCCATTCACAAATTCCATTGGCACGTTAAACACTTTTGAAGTCTGAGTACTCAAGTACGTTGGAAGGTAACTACTTATTATAGACCTGTAAGCTTAGTATCTGACATTTCCTGACATGTCCTCCCCCCCCACCCCTCCTCCTTAGTACTTTGAGTACTTTGAATTAGGGCCCCTCGACTCCCTGGATCACATCGGTAGCAGCTTCCATCTCTTGCAATTGCATCGTTTGCAGCATTTTCAATGACTCATTGGAGAGACTTCGCGAAGATACTGTCGCTATCCAGTCGAGATCATCACGTTATCCACGAAGACATGTGAATTTCGCTCATTTGTTCCATCTACCTTCGGGCCGCACGAAGAGAAAACAGAAGCCAGAGAAGCAAAAGAGAGAGAGAAAGAGAGACCGAACCGACAGGAGCGACGCTGGAGAAGCTCACGACCTCCAGGACTGCCACGGCCCACGACCTCCCCCTCACCCCACACTCCACAGCCACCACGAACGACTCCACAGCCTTATATACCCCCAAGCAGACCGAGTCGAACACCAACTGCCCCTCGCACCGCGCATGCGCCAGCCCCACGACCAATCCCTGCCCCAAGGAGAGGCTCCCGACGAGTGCCAGCACGAAGAGACTTTCCATCGCTCCCCGACAGGAGGCTCTCTCCTCGCTCCCTCCGCGGAGCCATTCCCTCAGACCCTCTTCGGCGAAGTCCCATTCCTCCGCTGCGAATTCATCACGATCGAGAACGAGTCGTAGCCATGGATTCAAATCGAGCCTGTTTTTATTTTCCCTAGAGTTTTTTTTTTCGAGACCGGACCTAGTGAACGTCACTCGAGAAGCTTCCCATTCGGCCGTGATCAATTTCTCAAACCGATTTTTGCTGGAATCCCATTCCTCGAGATTAACCGATTCCCGCACCGACCTCACTTTCCAGTACCGCTTTCTCCAGTACCGCGAAAGAGAATCCCCACCCCAGAGAAGCGGAAAGAAGCCTCACCGACGCCAGCCACGGC